AAAATACTTATAGTAACAAAAAATTCCGACAATAATAAGCTTTTTACCATCACAATTAATTTTGATACGATTAGATACTTATAGTAACAAAAATTTCCGATACTAAATCGCATTATGAATATCTCATACATAAATTGGCGCTATCACGTAAAAATATGGCGCTGGCACCACATTAAAATATTACTGAAATTTTAAACCATTTTCATTTCTAAAATTTCACCTAGGTAATGTAACCAAAACCAAACCCCAAAAAATGTCCTTCCTTTTCTCATTTCATCAGTAAAAACAACAAAAAATACTCTTCTTCTCTCTCCTCATTCTATTTCACGAAGCTAGGGTTCTAAAACAATTTGCTCAAATTTACAAAAATTATCACTCATCTACTCAAATTTACAAAAAAAAAATCACACATTATGCTCGATGTTGTTCTCTAATGGTTGCGCATCAAGTGGGATCTGCTGGGTTTTGCCGTTGAAATTCTCTAGCGGTGATTATTTTGTAACTTCATAGTACTAATCTTTGAATTTCATTTATTTTGAGCTTAATTTGTCAAAAATTGTTGATTTAAGTGTAAAAAAAATTAAGGGTTTTGTCTCAACTTGTTTGGTCATAAATTAGTGAGTAATTATATGGTCATAATTAATTTGGTATCAAAATTTCAAAGGATTTTATCAAAATTTTTAAGAATCTAGTTGGTCTGAAATTATATAGTAAAAAAAATTCGAAAGATTATGCGATGGTGTTTGTTTGTGCGATGGGTTTTGTGCTATGGGTTATGCTCTATTCGGCATAAGAGTAGCGTTTGATGCAGGTTTTAGAAAGTTAGAGGCTCCTCTGATTGCTTCCATTTTATTGAATTGCTGAATGATTCTAAGCATGAGAATTCTCCTACTCAATTGGTTGTAACAGATATTCTGAATTTTTCCTTGCTTGGATATAAGTCTGAGAACATATTTGAGGTGAAGTTGGCTGGCTGTGTGTTCATGTATGCGTATGTGTATTGTCACTCAATCAGAAATCATAAAATCACTCAAATTTTAGATTGTTTAGAGCCTTGCTTGGATAGGAGCCTCAGGCACTATGATGTTGCACTAAGTTTATCTTTGCATTTCCTTCTTTTTCCAATAGATTATTGATCTGACTTTAGGAGAATGGAATAAGCTTCAGGAATAAAGTAACATGTACTTGTATTTTTGATATGCTAACGTTCATTGCCCTTTGTTTTTGTCTCGATATGCCAACTGTTACAATGATCCAGGTCTGGTGAATATGGATGTACTGCTTATGTGACATTCGAAGATTCTTATGCTCTAGAAACTGCTGCCTTACTCAGTGTATGTACAGCTGTCTAAAAACTTAGGAGTTTTTTTTATTAATAATGGTCTGCTTTTGGTTGTAATTTTTTGGATTAATATACATATTGCATGATCTTTTGGTTGCTTATATTCTTCATGTAGTATAGGACTATGAGCTTAATATATGTATTGCAGGATTGCTTATCAATATATAGCTTGTAATTTTTGTCATGGAATATGTGGATATCTGGTTTTAACTTCTATGGAAATTAATCATTAGCTTTCATGCGTGTTTTATTTTTTTATTTGTTTAGTATATTTAGGTGAACAAGATGAATTTTGGACTTTTATGTAGTATTAAATGATGCCTTTTTGATAGCCATTGGGGTCTGGAGGAAATTTAACTTCACATCTAACATAATTTTTAGCAGACGATACTATAGTTATTGAACTTCATATTCGGAAGATGATTTTGCTGAGAGATGTGGAGTCTGATGTCAACTAGATAGGAGTAAGGAGAGCGTTAAGGATGTCTAACAAGCTAGAAACAATTTCCTATAATGTTATGAAGCATTAGTTTTACTTTGAAATTTGAAACAAATTCACCCTTTGTTCAGTGTAAGTAGTCATGCCCTCATTTGTAATCTCTTTGGTAAGCAAAAGTAATTTCAAACAAGTGTCCAAGCACTTGGGAGAAGAAAATTCGGGTATAATAAAAAAGCTTGAGAGAAACTAGAAAGTTTCAAGTTGGGAAATGATCCAACTCATTAATATCTCTTCGTTTCAAATAACAAAACAAAGCGCACTCCAACTCGTAGCACTACTATATATATATACATATACTACCTTATGTACATTGTAGTCCCTTGCATAAATTCTTAGCTTGAAGTTGAGAAATTATTATAATATCATATTTCAAATTCATAGTGTCAATGGAAGATAAACTCCTCCCTCTAAAGCATAGCAAACTTCTTATGGACGAAGATGGGGGTACATATCATACTGATCTTACACTTTGTAATGTTTGTATTTTGTTAGAAGGAGTATTTTGTTACTTTTATTTCAACTTTTGGTACTATCATTTCTTATCCAAACCTTATCCAAGTTTTCTAGTTCTACTGAACGTGTCATTTCTACAATGAAGTCAGCAAACGCCTGACCCTTCACCGTCTTCCTTGGTTTGAAGGTAATTTTGAGACTTTGAATTTCAATAGCCCATTTGATAATTCAGCCGGATGACTCTAAAGTTAGTGGTTGGTTTGTGTAGACAACCACCAGATGTGCCTAGAAGTATTATTTAAAATTCTTGACTCCTTTGAAAAGTGCAAGGCCAAATTTCTCAATTGTAGAGTACTGGAGCTTTGCGTTTCGAAGAATGTGGCTAACGAAATAGACCAGGAGCTGATTGTCGTCTCTCTCAGCAGGGAGAACAACACTGAGACCATGATTTGAGGCGACCAGATACATGTAGAAGAGTCTCCTTTGGCAAAGGACTTATAAGCCTTGGCAAGGAGTGCAGCTGTTCTTTCAATTTCTAAAATGCCGCCTAAGCATCGTCTCCTCATTCAAAAATTGTTTCTTTCTGATAGCTTAGAATAATAAAGGCATTTGTCGCCTGATCGGCTGAGGAATCTCCCCAATGTCGCCAAACAACCAGTTAGTTTATGTACTTCTTTGACACTGTGGGGTGACTTCATGTCAATGACCACCTCCTTCTTTGGGTTTGCCGCTATCCTTCTTTAATTAATCAAAAATCCGAGAAACTTCCCAGACTCAACACCAAAGACACACTGTTTAGGATTAAGCATGAGCTTATGCCGCCTGAGTGTGGAGAAGGTTTCTTGGAGGTCAGCAAGGTGATCAGTTTGTAGCTTGGATTTAACTATCATGTCATTAATGTACGCCTCAACATTCTTGCCAATCTGATAAATAAAAATCGCATTAATCATGCGTTGGAATGTTACAGGCACATTTATCAAGCCAAACGGCATCACTGTATAACAAAATAACCCTTGATATGTGATGAATGTCGTTTTCTCTTAATCTTTTTTCCACAAAAGTACCTAATGAAAGGCTGAATAGGAGTCCATAAAACTCATCATGGCATGTCTGGCTATAGAATCGACCATACTATCGATCTTTGGAAGTGGATAACTGTCCTTCAGACATGCCTTGATCAGGTTTGTGTAATCAACACACATGCGCCAGTAACCACTTGGCTTTTTCACCAAAACAACATTGGCGACCCAGACGGGAAAGAAGCATTGCTGAATTATAATGAACTAACCTAGCCTCCAACAACTTTTTTACTTCGACAACTGTCGCCTGACTTCTCTCCTCACCGTGATTAATTTTCTTCTGCTTTGGGTCAACGACGAGTTTGTGGACAGCAAGATTCAGACTAATGCCGGGCATCTCTTCCACTTCAAAAGAAAAGATATCCTTGAATTCTCTCAACAGATGTAAGTCTGCCCCCATCTTACCAAAAGCAATCATCCCTACCTTAACAATACGTTCTGGACTTATATTATCCAGAACAATATCAATGTGCTCTCCAATCGTCTAGGGACAGAGTTTATCTGACCGTTCACCAGTTAGTAATTGATATTGCTTCTCTTTTTTTACAGTCACCAACTAGTCGGCCTTTCTTTTTTTGCTGGCTGCTGGTGGGACAGACTCTGAGTCCTTCTCTTCATCCAAGTCGATCGTCTCAGTTTCCTGACCGATTATAGTAGGCTTGACGTCTGAGAGATAGCGTTCTCTTGCTACATTCTAGTCTCCTCTTAGAGAACCGACGCTGCCATCATCTCTTTCAAATTTCATCAGCATGAGGGAGGGGATTATGAAGGCATTGGATAAATTGAGAGTCGGACGCCCTATAATAAGATTATAGGTCGTTCCCTGTGCAACGACCAAGAACGGAACGACCATTTTCCGCCATTTACCCTTTGCTCCTAGCCAGATGGGCAAGTTAATTCGGCCGACAAGTTGAATGACTCCTCCCCCAAAACCAACTAACAGATGTAAGACCTCATGCATGCTGCTACGTTTGTACTTGAGCTTTGACAAACAAGCCCAACTGTTTATATCAGACAAGCTGCCAGTTTCAATTAGGATCCACCATCCTTAGGGTAGGCAACCTTACATTCGACCACCATGGGGTACGGTCGTCATGCGGCCGATGAACCTTGCCCCGGTCTTTCTTAGTGATGACTACCTCTGGGAATGTCTCATATGACGTCTGGCCATCCTCAACTGAATTGATTATTTTGCGGACATGATCCTTGGTGCCTCTAATAGTTTTTGTCTGAGCCATTATCAGCGTTTTTACGGTTGTTTTGGGTCCGTCTTTAGTGTCACCTTGGACTTCAAAATATAGGACTTCATCAATCCTTTTTTAGCAAGTTTATCCAACAACCGCTTGAGGCTATAGCAGTCATTGGTGTCATGGCTTACATCCTCATGGAAATGCCAGTACTTGTTCTTATCACGGTGCTTAGCCGGACCTTTCATTGCTGGAGGCTTCTTAAAGCTCACCCGGTTCTTGATCTTCATGAGGATGGTGTAATAATCCTTGTTAAATTCGTACATTGGGACGTACTGTTTAACTTCTTTCTTCTTTTTCTTGGACGGCTGACTAGATTCGTCAACCGCCCAAACATCTTTTTTCTTTTTGTTCTATTCATTCTTCTAAGCCAGCTGTTCTTACCGACTGCATTTTTGTTTGTCATATCTTTTTTTATCCATCTGCTTGCTAGAGGAGCAGAATTCTGACACCTGTATGTAGGTCTCTGCCTCCCTTAACGCTTCAGGGAGAGTGAAAACCCTTTTCCGGATGAGATCAAACTTGAATTGTGATCCGTTCTTCAATCCCTTAAAAAAGTCTGTATAAGCAACTTCGTCAAGAACCCCTTGAACCTGAATTCTCTCTAGATTGAACTGCCTAACATATGAACGGAGCCCCTCACGATCTCCTTGAACCATCGCCCCCAAATCAAAGCTTGTCTTTTTGGCCGATATGTTCATGGAGAAGTTTAAGGCAAATAGGAACGTAAGCATCCTAAAGTTGTTCATGCACCCAGGCGGCAAATTGCAAAACCACTGTTGTGTGATGCCTTTCAATGTAGCTGGTAAACATCTGCACCATGCAGCATCATCTAACCCTTGTAAGTACATGAGGTTGGTATATGCCATTATGTCATCCTCAGGGTTGGTGGTGCCGCAATAAGCAACAACCAAAATGTTCTTAACCTTATCGGGTTGTGCCGCCTCGGTTATTTTCTTGGAGAACACAGAAGGTTGTTCTCCAAGTTTTTGCAGATAAAGCTGCTAGTCCAAGGGTTGGACTTGATATGTCGTCTGACCTCCGTATAGAGCAGGCTGCTGAAAGGCGAGCGGGCCGTATGATTGATGGGGCACATACGGTGCCGAGCCTATAACATGAGGACTTGTGCGAACGGACGGGCCGCCTGACAGGTACTCCTGCCCAGATTGGGAATTCCTCAGAGAGGTATTCCTGATAGAGCTGTCTGGCATTGTCGGTGTTGAAGCCGTGTCAGACATTTGCTGGTTCTTCTTGTGCTCGATGAATTTCCAAGCATCAATGTTAGTCTTCTTGCTACCATCCAGTTCATAATGCCGGATGGGCTTTCGTTTTAACGTCTCTAGGAGACGTATCTTTGTCCAATCAATGAACGATTTGGCCCTCTCGTGTAGACTGGGGTGAGGAGTGGCTTCCCGGTCCTTGATCGTCCTTTGCCTCTCAAAAGGAGGATTCTTGTTGGCCGACTAACCCTTGCTAGGACCAGCCGTTTGATTTTTTATGAAGTTCTTCATATTTCCCTAGAAGTGAGTCATGAACTTCAAGAATTCAGAGCGGGTTATGTGAGCAATCGGCTCTTTAGCCTGAGACTTGCATTTGTTAGCATTCCTCTCCTTTTTGTCTTTGGATCGAATGCATTTAGTGATGAAGGATCGTGGTCTGAATGGACCTCTGCTCTATCCGAATGTTTATTTTCCAAATGTGGTACAGGTTCTTCAAAATCCATCTAAGAGGTACCCTCCCCACATACAGCACCAAATGTTTCGGGGTTTCCTGATGTGTCCTGCGAGAGAGTTACAACTCTAAGACTAGATCTGTTGGCACATGTACCTGCAACAAACGGAAGCTTTGGTTGTTCGGAGTTTCTCCTCCAACGATCAAGTTAGTAAATGTCGAATTTGAGTGAATGGGGAAAGTAAAAGTAGTTCTTCGAATCCCGAGATCTAGGAGATTTCGCTGTTGTAAGAACAAGTAAATAGTGTAATAATTGTAAGATAGATGTGAAAAGTGTCCCTCCTAAGGTAATAATTGTCCACATTTATAGGGTATGGGAGTGCGTGCCCTTACCTTAGGTAATTAGGCTGCGCCGTTTTTACGGTGCCTTGGGATTTAGGCCCATGAAGGCTGTCATTTTCTCTTACGATGGATGTGCCACGTGTCTTATCCTGGTTGGCCCATTTTGGGCGCCTCCTAGGGTGACACATGTCACGACCTGATTGGCCCATGTGTCTAAGGCATTTTTACCCTAAACATGTGTAATAAGAAAAAAAACAAATTGGATAATGTTGAGGGTAAAAATAGCCCGCCACATGGTCAAATCCTAAGGTGATATGTGGCCCAATTAAAGGGCAACACGTGTTCTAATAAGAAGATAACACATGGCAATCCGAAGACACTTTAGTATGGTAAAAAGGCAACTATCATATCAAGCCCAATTATTGAGAGAGACGCCAAAATAGCGCCCCCAAAGGACACATGTTCGCACCTGATTGCGCAGCCAATCAACGCATACTATTCTAGGTCACTAAAACCTAAGAGGGCACACACTCCCACCTCTATAAATACCCCAATCATTTATGATGGCAGGGGTGGATTGAGAGATTGCATTGAAGTCATTATTAATTGCTGATTGCTCTAAATTCTCTCTACTTTCTCTTTCTAAAACCCTTCGTTTTTAGGTTACTAACTAAATCGTCGGAGGTGCATATTTCGATCACGGAATATTCGCTGTTTTGTAGGTGTCTGCGGCCACTCGAATGTTGTTGAAGATCTGTATCCCGAGGAAATCTAAAAAAACCCCAAAACAGATAAAATAAGAGAGTATATAAAAAATATTAAGGAAAAATACAAGTTTATCATCATCTTTAAAAAAAATGGATAAAGTAAGAGAAAGATTGAATAGAAAAGTGCAAATATAAATAAATGGGTAAGGTAGTAAAAATATTTGTCAAAAAACGAATAGCAAATGAATAAACACGAAATGCTAAAACTACTAGAAATGGAGGCAATAACTTTCAACCTTTAAGTATTAAAATTTATTATTCGTTTATATACTTCGTATATATCTACAATCTGGTATTGAAAGGCAGTACACCATGTGCAGTGATGTAAAAATGTTTTGAACGTAGAGTATCATCTCGTAAGATTTCAAATTTATAATCAAGTGATATAATCTCTCTATCCCATCATATCATATCATATCACTAATAAATAAAGTCGGTCTCCCACTCAGATCATGAGACTGCGACACTTGGCATTCTAGTTTTTCGTTAAGTAGGCGACAAATAGATATTACTAGATGGAAGCCCGTGCAATGCACAGTCTTTTCATCTAAGATTTTTTAATTATTTGATTTATTGTATTTAATAATTTCAGACAAAATTACAAAAGTTTAATATTTTTTTTTTACTATAATTTATAATGAATTCATTAAATATAAATAAATTGTAAATATGATATATTTTCCTTTATATAAAATCTTTAATGTGAAATGATAAGTTTTTAATAATTTAAATCCTAAATCATTATTCATTGTTTTACCATATCTTTTATTTCGATGGAATCACCAACCTCGTCCACAATTGTAACACCCTAGAAATTCCTTCCCTTTTAAAATACATGTTTTGCCCTTTTCAAATACGAAGAAGGAAAATCTAAGACATTACCGCCACCGTGAAAACGGCTAAGACAATTATCAAAGACACACAGCGGAAGACTACCATTAAAACTATTTAAAATCAAGTCAAGTTTAAAAGTCAAACCAAACGAAAGTAAAAGTCAAACAAAGTCAAAAGAAGTCAATGTACAACTTGGAACCATTGTAGGCCCTTAAACCAAAACACTTGAAAACCTCTTTGCGTTAGTCTCACAATCAACATAATTAAATAATAAATTAAAGCAATAAACACATCATATTCTAACGAGAACTAAGCATGATTCACTCTTCACTCATGCCCCTTCATAATTATGCTTCATCACCTGAAAAACTTCTCTCTACTTGTCCCCACTACTCGCCATTAGAAATGGGTCGTCGTAGGGCCAAGGTAAAGACAAGGCCAGACAAACACACAATACACACAATCAGCAAAGCTAAGTACATAAGCGTAATTAACACACACTAACATGCTTTCATCCTATCAACACACAACTTACCTCGATGCACCTGTTTACAAGCACACAACAATCATCACTTGACTCGACTACTAATTAATATTTATTTAATTTTGATTACACATCGAACGGGTTTCCAACCAACTACCTGCCTCAAATAAATTGAGGTAAACTACACCGGGAGCTAACCGGGTAGGCAAATGCCACATGAAGTGACTGGATCCTGCGCATAATAAATAATAAAAATGGAAAGTACAGCGTCCTATACCCCCAGTAGGAGTTATGGTCAAATATAAAGTCGCATAACCCCCCCCCCCATATGTTCATTCTCAAGGTATATACGTTCCAAGAGTTTTGGTGTGTAATCTCTTTCACTTTACGTGATTTACAAATTATTAGACTTGGTGATCACTCTCAAACACAACACAACCAAACATTTCAATTCACTCAAGCAATCAAACAACCAATTTATTTCTTGAATATTTAGTGACCATATAAATTTAGTGTGGAATCTTTTTTAAACTACCTCGGTGTTAAATAACACCTTAAGTGCATAAGGCACCGCAAATCCTATCCCTCGGTGTTAGAAACACCTTAAGTGCACATAGGCACCGCAATATAATTTATCCATGTGTACTAAGACACTTAAATAGCTCTTTCCTCATGCTTATAGCATTAATAAAAATTATATGAACCATAATAAAATTCCTCTTCCATAATCCAAACCAAGATAAACATCCAGTTTAACCAAACATGCCTTCTAACATGTCAATAATAAAAGTATGGTTCAATATCAACATGCCAATATAATTAATTCCAATCACCAAATCACCACAAATAATTCATCATCACAAATCATTCACCAACATTAATCCAATTAACAAATTTCATCCAACACCTATCATAATACAACTTGGAATTAATTTAACAAAGCCTAGCATGCTTCTATACACTTAAACTTTACCAAGTACGCGAACGCACCTCGAATACGATCTCAAAATAGCCACGATTACACAAAGTCACTCACTTGGAAGTCTCCTACAAACCACAATTATAAAGGAGTATTAATACCCTTCTAACACAAAATTCCAGCAATATATACTCTCTTTAAATCACTCAAAAACCCCTTTAAAATAATCTAAATGTTTATCTAAAACCCTTACTTTATTCCCCAATTAAATGGGTAATTAAAGATCTTTTCAAGAGACTTAAATTAGACTTATTATATAAAAATTCCAGCATTATTAAAACTTATAAAATTGTTGTAATCGAGCCCAATTTCTTAACTTCGATTTCTGGCAGTGATACGAACAATCATTCTCTCTCTAGAATTTGAGAGCATCTCTCACTAAAAATGAGTTTCTCTAGTTTTGCTAGGGTTTGCTTTTCCCTTTGAAGATTTCTTGCGTGTTCTGCTAGGTTATAAGGTTTTCCTATAGGCTTGCTAAGGGGAAGTAGCTCTTCAGTTCCTAGATTCTGAAGGTTTATTCTCCTTTCTATTTCTTCAAAAAGATCAGTCCCTCGTTTTTTATGAATTCTCCTCGTTTACCATAAAAGGCATTAAGCTTTTAGTAGCTTTTGGTTCTTTCCAAGATTGCAGAAGCGCAGCCTTTGGGTTTCTCATTTTCTTTCTGTTAGGCAGTTAATGCTCTATGTTCTATTGGTAGAGAATTATGGATAGAGGCGGCTATCCTTCTAGGTTTTTTCAGTCCCTTTATGTTTTGGCTCCCCATGCGGGTTTTGTTTCTTCTTCCAAGAACTG